TCTTGTTCTTCTTGCTGGTTTGCTCAAAGATCCTGCTCTGTCTCTAGACTGTCTCTCCATCTGGTAAGTTCATTAATTTTAACTAATAACTTTCAAAAATTCTAAAATGTTGATGGCTTAGTGGTAGTGCAAAGAGATTGGTTTATTTGTGTTCCAGGTTCAAACCTTTTTTAATAAGAAGTGCTATTCTTTTTGGTTACAGTTTTTTTTCTTTTTTTGGTTAAAAAGGCGTCTTTAGACCTATGAAAAGTTTTGTGCACGTCTTGGAACTTCTACGATAATACAACACTTTCAGAAAATTATTTTGATGTTTGGTATAATGAGATAACTTCTAAAGATAAATTTTTATTAATTTTGTTAATATCTAAATACTCTTGTTCTTCTTTTTTTTGTAGTATGGCAGTTTCAGCATTATCCTTCATGGTCTCTGTCGGCTTTAACGCCGCTGCAAGGTTACTATTTATTCCTTCACTAATTCAAATGATTAGCCAACACTGCTGAAGCATAAACTGAAAAAGAAATATATATATGTGACAGTATACGAACAAGTAATGAGCTCGGAGCAGGTAATCCAAAATCAGCGTTGTTCTCTACATGGACGGTGACTATTGTTTCCTTCATGATCTCCGTTGGGGAGGCGCTCATCCTGATGGCGTCACGTGATTACATTAGCTACATTTTCACGTCAGACGCTGATGTGGCTGAGGCCGTCTCTGACCTCTGCCCTTATCTTGCCATCACTGTCATTCTCAACGGAATCCAACCCGTCTTGTCCGGTATACTGCATATAAACTTAACCGGATTTAACTTAACCAAACCGAGTCAAATAAATATCGGTTTTGTATTTGTTGCAGGAGTAGCAGTGGGATGTGGATGGCAGACATTCGTGGCATATGTGAATGTTGGTTGTTACTATGTTGTTGGTATTCCCATTGGTTGTGTTCTCGGCTTCACTTTCAATTTGCAAGCCAAGGTTCGTTTTAAAAATTGTTTCCCTGTATTTTTTTTTTTTGAACAACAGTTTCCCTGTATAATATATGCTTTTATCATCTCTATCTCTCTCTATATATAATGAATTTTATGATAGGGTATATGGACTGGAATGATTGGAGGTACCCTCATGCAAACTCTCATCTTACTTTACGTCACATATCAAACAGATTGGGATACAGAGGTAAGTGTTACATGATATTTACACCAAAAAAGTGTTACATGATATAAACATCATCATATTAAATCAATTCGCATCATACTGATTTTTTGCTATAAACAGCATATTGAATTATAATTGTTTTTTTTGGTAAGGTAAATTTGGTTTTTAGGTATGTTATTAAGATTTTATGTCTACAATCATTTAGGTGGAAAAGGCGAAGAAACGTTTGGATATGTGGGACGACAAGAAGGAATCTCTCCAAACATAGTAAGGGATTTAATTTAAAATATATACTTTAAAGAATAGCTAAACATTTTAACATGATAATGTAATGATATATTTCAAAATGCAGGTTATAATAAGTCCGGAGAGAATAGAACAACGATTCACAAGTTTTTTTTTTTTTTTTTAATATTAAATGTATTGTTGGCTAGTCTTTTATTTTTATTTTTTACTTCCAACTACTTTTATTAAATAACAGATGAAATTACATAGTCTCTATGAATTGAGTTTGTAATTATATGTGGTACATAGTTATGACAAAGAATAAATTTCCATCTTGGATAGATTCTTTAGCGAGTAAATCAGCCACCGCATTCCCATCTCGTCCAATCCATCTAAATTCACAAGCTTGAAACCGTTGCGTCCACCACCTTACTTCACGTACCCAATTATAAAGATCAAATTGCAGTCTATTGGAGCTCAAAATATCAATCATCTTCTGATTATCCTCTTCAAAACATACTTTAGTATATCCTCGAGACCAACAATGTTGCATTGCCAGTAACAACGCTTGAAACTCTGCTTATAAAGAAAAAGATACTCTTCTTCCACAAGATTGTCCTGTTAAAATAAACTCTCCTTTGTGACCCCAAAGAACCCATCCTGCTTTGCTTCTTAAATTCAAATTAATGAAAGAACCATCGATGTTGCACTTCACCCATCCTTCTCTTGGTCTTCGCCATATAGATTTTTGTCGTAGTTCTCCAATTCCAAAATGTCTTGTTTCCCACGTTTCATCAGTTGCATGTTGTAACCATTCAGCTACATCATCTCTTGCTTGCTTAATTATCACCCAGCCTTGTAAATTCCTTTGTTGAAAAACTAACAAATTCCTACTCTTCCAAATTCTCCAAAGTAAATTGGTAGGAAACTCTTGGAAGTGTGGTAAACGCTGAGATGTATTGCAAACAACACATGCTTCTATTCTTTCCTCCAAAGTAGCATAAGAACCAGTAATGATATTGTTTGAGATACCTGATGCTCGCCAAAAAAATTTTGCATATGGGCATTCAAACAACATGTGTAATTCTGTTTCAACGCCTGCACAACATCTCATACACTGATCATGCCTCGTAATATGTCATCTTTTGATGTTACTTCCAACTGGTAGTGATCGAGATAGTACCTTCCAAAGAAAATGTTTGATCTTTGGAGGACTCTTTAACTTCCATATTTTTTGTTTCAGCAGAGGATCTCCCCAAATTTGTTGCACCACACCATTCTCTGGCAAATGTGTGCTCAACCAATACCCAGACTTGACATTGTAAATACCATCATCAGTCTAATGCCAGCCTAATAGGTCTAACTGCGCTTTTGAACTGATCTTAATGTTCAAGATTGTTTCGACATCTTCGGGAACGATTCGGTCTCCGAGTAGTGAAACGTTCCAACTAGATCCATCCTCTTGAATATAATCACGAACACTCTCTAGCTCCATGTTTCCATTTATTTCTCTTGGAGCTCTTGGTGGATGGACTGGAAGCCAGGGATCGACACACATATTGACCGTCTCGCCATTTCCAATAACAAAGCGCATACCTTGTTTTAATAAATCTCTTCCATACATTAGAAACTTCCAAACATATGAAGCCTTTTTCTTAATGGTAGCTGTGAAGATATCCCTCATGAAAGTATCTAGCCTTTAAAATTTGTGCCATAAGACTTTGTGGCTTCTGCATTATACGCCATACTTGCTTTCCTAACAGAGCTTGGTTAAATTTCTCTAAATCCCTGAAACCCAGACCACCTTCTCGTTTTGGTACACTTAATCTTTCCCAGCTATACCAATGCATCCCATTTTTATCGCCTGAACCCCACCAGAATTTGGCAAGGATAGAGTTTATTTCTTGACAAATATCTCTTGGAAGACGAAATACATTCATCGAAAAGATTGGCATGGCAAGAGCCACGGCCTTCAGCAGTACTTCCTTACCTCCATGGGTAAGATATTTCTTATTCCAGCCTTGTGTTACAGCTTTAACCTTATCAATAATGTATTGAAACATCTCACTTTTCTTCCTCCCAAACTGCTCTGGGAGACCCAAATACTTACCCTTTCCCCCATCATTATGGATTCCCAATAAATTCCTCATTCTTCTCTTGACATCGTCGTTCACTTTACTTCCAAAAGTGATGGTGGATTTATGTAGGTTGATTGCTTGTCCCGAGACTGCTTCATATAAAGTAAAAATTTGCTTAAGCTTCCTTCCAGCTTTAGGATTTGCCAAGGAGAAGAAAAGAGAGTCATCAGCAAATAATAGGAGATTCACTGCTGGAGCATTATTTGAAACCTTAACACCCAGCAAAGATATGTTTGTCATTGCACGATGCATTAGATGAGATAGCACTTCAGCACATAAGTGAATAGGTATGGAGATAATGGGTCTCCTAGTCTTAATCCTCTCTCAGGCACAATCTGACCTTCAGGAGTTCCATTTATGAGAACTGAAAACTTCACTGAAGTAACACAAACCATGATCCACTTTATCCATTTAGCATGAAAACCCATACGCTTCAATGTTTCTGCTAAAAAGCTCCATTCTAAACGATCGTATGCCTTCTTGATATCTGTTTTAACCGCCATGTATGACTTGCCTGACGTTTCCTTACTTTAAGACAATGGAAAATTTCATGAGCAACAATTATGTTGTCAGAAATCATTCTTTCTGGAATGAAAACTGTCTGGTTTTCTGTGATAATGCCACTGAGATGCTTCTTCAAACGATTTATAAGAATCTTGGAAATGATCTTATAAGTGACATTGCAAAGAGCAATGGGTCTAAACTCTGTCATACCCGTAGGTGGGTAGACTTTGGGAATCAAACATATGTTAGTATGGTTAATCTTCTCATCAATAATACCCTCTTCAAAAAACTGCTTCCCTTCCTTCATAATTTCATCTTTGACCGTATCCCAGTGTTGGTGATAGAAAATTGCAGAAAACCCGTCCGGACCAGGGGCCTTATGAGGTCCTATTTCAAAAATAGCCATCTTAACTTCCTCTTCTGTTATATCTCTTATCAAGTCAGAGTTCATATCCTCATCAACGCGTGTAGTAAATCCCTGAAACACTGTAGAAAAATGTGCTTCAACATCATCTTGAGAAACAAAAAGCTTAGCAAAATAAGTTTCTGCTACTCGTGTTATGTTCTTATGGCCACGCTGAGTCACTCCATTTTCATCTTGTATTGAAGAAAGTGTACTTCTGATTATTCGAGTTCTAGAAACAGAGTGAAAATAAGTAGTATTCATGTCTCCAGCCCGTAACCACATCACACGACTCTTTTGTTTCCAAAATAGCTCTTCCTCTATGTACGCTTGATTCAAGTCTTCTTTGAGTAAATTTGTTGTTTCTATCGAGACTGCTGCAGACCTCACGGAATCATCCAATTTCTTTCTCAGGATCTTTATTTGTTCCTCTGCATTAGTTCTGTTGTGTCGCTTCCAAATAGAGATATTGTGTCTACATCTAGTAATACAATCAGATAAAGGTATCTGTGTGAGACTTGCTTGACCTGTACCCTTCCAACCTCTTTGTACTGTTTCTCTGAATCCATCGTTATTTATCATCCGACTATCATACATTAATCTTCTTTTGGTTGTTCACACTCCTTAGATAAGTAAGTAATCAATGGCCTGTGATCAGATTCTGCCAATTCCAAAAGATAGTTTCTTAGGCTGTAAATTCTACAAACCAATCTGGAGTAGCCATAACTCTGTCTAGACAGAATTCTATCACTTCATTACCTCTTCTTCCAGTCCCAGAGAATCTGTTGCCCAACGTTGGTAGGTCAGTGAAATCGCAATGTCTCATCATTGTTCTGAAATTAACAAAAGATGACTATGGTCTTACTCTGCCTCCTATCTTCTCATGGTTGCCAATACTTCATTAAAGTCTCCTAGGACCATCCATAAGTCGTTCCTTCTAGTCAGAGCCAATCGTTCTAATTTCTCCCAAGTATATTGTCAATAAGCAGTATTAGGATGTCCATACACAAACAACAAGTAGAAATAAATTCCATTAATCTGAACTTTACAATCTATGAGATTATGAGACTGAAACAAAACTTGCAACTGAACATGAGATTTCCAAAAATGACTAACCCACCACTTAAACCTAGGGGAGGAATAGAAACATAAGATAAACAATCTAGCTGAGCACCAACATCACGAATAACATCATCTTGCTGCTTGGTTTCGGATAGGCATATAATGTCCAGGAGATAATTCCGATTTTTCTCCTTAAGGCGTCGAACTGTCGAGTCATTTCCTAGACCTCGACAGTTCCAGCAGGCTGTCCTCATGGTGGAATTGGTGGTTCTGGGCCCACGGCACCTCTCACAATGTCATGATCATCTTCCTTTTCCTTCTCAGCCTCCCTCACACACACAGGTTCCTCCACCAAATTTTCACGGAGACATTTAGTTTTCGCGGCCTTACTTGAGCTTCCAATTTCCAACTTAGAAACATTACCATTTGCAGCCTCCATCCACCCTTTTCTCTTCGGACTTACCACTCTCGTAGAACCAGAACTTTGTTGGAAGTATGAGTGTCAACATCACTCGTAAACATAGTATTGCTACTATTACCATCCCAAAGTTCTTCATCATCAGCTTCAGCCTCCATAGCCTCAATACTCCTCTCATATGCTTCTTGGATTGGATCAGCCTCCGTATTTGCATCAGTTACCTCATCTACCCCTTCAGTCTCCTCTATGATTACTCCATGGTTCGGAACAATTTCTTCCTCATTATCGTCCCCACTACTATCATCATCATCCTCATCACCAGGAGAAGGAGCAGGACCACCATTAATGATGATACAAGCTCATGTATCATGCGTGATCATGCCACAAGTCTCACAAAAGCCTCGCAGGCGTTCATAATGGAAACGCAAGAGAGTGTTCACTCCTGGGGAAAACTGGAAGTTTCTCTAAAACTTTAACGGGCTATTGATGTTCCAGTTAAGCCGAATCCTGACAAAATC